TAGTTTATAAACTAGACATTTAGAAATGTATCATATGGTGAAAAACTGACTTTGAAAACTAAATCTGTTCTTTTTTTCTTATAAAAGGCTAAATAAAACAAAAATATTGGTGGTAATTTTTGACTGTGTAACTTTACAAACGGCACCCCATAGAAATGATCTTGAGCAGAACCTGAGCTCAGTGTTTATATCCTGCATGAAACTGAACGTTTCTGTTAATTAACTGTTATTAATGTGTAAACTGGTTGTGTGTTGTGTAGGTACCAGCATGCTGTGGCTAACCCTGGTCTCATCACCTTCACCGGTCCGTACCTGGATGTTGGCGGCGCCGGCTACGTCGTCACCATCAGTCACACCATTCATGCCTCCAGGTGAAGAGACTGGATTTGTTTCACCAAACTTTAGCTGAAGTTTGAGAGTATTTGTGTGTTGAGTCTCAGCTCAGTGTTGTTTTGGGGAGTATTTCAGTCTAAAAGTCCCTTCAGCTGGACTGTGTTGTGTTTGAGATTAAAAACAGGAAATGGTCTGACAGCAGCTTTRCTAATTTTTCTTCGTTGCTTTTCATCGTGTGACCAAAATCCATCAGCTGAACGATCCGTCACAATTATCTTTAAGTGTGTGCTGTTCCAAAGCTCCCTCAGGCGAGTCAGAAAAAGACTCCCTTTTAGAAGCGAGCRGGAAAACAACAAGCTGAGCATCTGTTGGCCAGCGGTTTGTTTACTACAAAGAGTCTGGAGCTGAGATTAAAATATTTATTTCCTGCTCAGTGAGCCTTAAATGCAACGCGTCACGAAGGCCGCAGCGCTGTACACAAGCATTCACTGTGTGAGTGAGATAAGTCAGGATTGATGTTCTGTTGTCGACCGGCTCAGTGAGCACGACAAACARTCTGCAGTTAAATCAGATTTCAAARTGGCCTCTACTTTCAGTGTTTTATTTATTTATATTTTTTGTTTTACTACTTGTGGGCTAACGACACGGTGAGAATAATTCAAGCAGACAGGTCTGACGTGTTCCCAGCTTTGTCCAGCCCTCGTGATCCGTATCCTCTSTGTGCTTCTTGCAGTTCTCAGATGGCTCCTGGTTATGCGGTTGCAGTGATGGGCATAGACTTCACTCTTCGCTACTTCTACAAGGTCCTGCTGGATCTGTTGCCCATCTGCAACCAGGACAAAGGCCACAAGCTCAGGTGAAACGGATGATCTGTTTTCTTCATGTTTTAACTTCAAACGAAGGTGGAAAAATACTAAAGTAGTGGAAGGTAGAATGGAGTCATATTATCTAAATCAGGGGTTCTTAACCTTTTTCACCTCGGGGCCCAATCTGTTGAACATAAAGTGACACGAGGCCCAGTCAGACATTACTATAC